CTATGCTGGAACCAAATTAATCATAAAGTAAATCTTTGCAAGAAAGGCCTACGGGAAGATACAATATGACTATAATAAACTTTCAGAGCAGGGACTGTACCCATCCCACAGAAGACACCAATAAATATTCATTGAATGAAATGAATAAATAAGCATGCTCACAAAAATCTATTCTTTTTTTCTAGAGTCACTTTAGCCACCAGAAGTTATTCTGAAATGCACCGTCAACAAAGGGAATGGGAAAGTTGTTCACAACAGACACACTAATGTAGTAGTGATGGTCATTTTATAATGCAGTGGGGAAAATGCATTGGGGTGCCAAGATCCAGGTGATATAAGACAGAACATTTAAAATATTATTTCATAAGCTTTTAGTCACACTGCAGGAAAATCATTTAACATATAAGTTTTAAAAATTATCATCCACAAGGGGTTCCATGAGGATTAAATAGGTGTTTATCTTCTCCCCAAAAAATCTACAAAAACTTGAGACAAGAACTACATAAACGGAAATGTTTGCTAAAATTAATGACAAAAAGCTAACTGTATAAAGAATATGGCTTACTTAAAATATGCTTAATATAAACATGGTTAACTAACAGCTCAGAAAAATAATGGGAAAAGACAGCTGACATAACTCGATATTGATATTACAGCTCTCAAGAGATTCTTTTATGAAAGACTAAATTTTAAAGCCATAGGATTAACAATATTTATACTGACATTTTGTTTAAACACCGTAAGGTCTCATGCTTTAGTGTAAAAAGTACAAACAACAAACTAGAAAAACAATAAGGCACTACCTAGAAGAAGTTAATTTTTTAAAAAAAAATTTAAGATGTTTCACAAGAAAAAAAAAGAATGATATTAAAGTTTAGACATATATGCACAGGGAAAAAGCTTTTAAGAGCATAACAAGCATTTAAATTTTAAAGCTCTGCTAGGTAGTACTTTCTCCTTTTAAAGCAACCTATTAATTGTTAGAAACTAAGACTTTACTATTACCCGCATTCTAAAATATGAGTCTGGACTATCATATCCTGTGGCCACCAGATTTATAGGATCATGTATCTTAAAGACTGAAAGGATCCTCAAGAGTTCAGGTGGTCCTACTCCTTTCATAAAGGAGGCACATCATTATCCTCGTGTTACAGAAGTGAATTTAAGTGATTCCTTCAAGGTCACATAATTCATAAGTGGGGAGGAGGCTAGAATCCCAGTCTGCTACCTGTTGGTGAAATGCTCTTCCCGCTCAAAATATCATCCACCTTCTCAAAAATGTACCATGGAGACAGTGAGGCATGATGACATCTTAGGTTCAATATCTCAAGAAGCTGGAACGTACAAGGGCTCTCTAAACGGTCTGCTCCCTCAGTTTTATTTTCTTCAGTCCCAGCATGCCTTTCCTACCGGTCCCTACTTCCTCACTCAGCCCAGCACTAACCCACCCACTTTAATGTCAGCTCCCCAAAGGCTCGTTGCAGGCTCGACACTTTATCTTCCTCTACTCCAGCTCAGTGGCCCCGCTTCGCCTCCCCTCGCCCCTCCAATGTCTTTGGTACAGCAACCAACTCCCACTCCGGCCAAATTTGGCTCTACAGGACCTCTAGATCTAAGCCCCTTCTCATTCGCGTCACCCATTGCTCTCCTCTCTTCTCCTCTCCTCTCCACTCCACTTGCTTGGTCCGCACTACCCATTCCTCCGCCCCACCACCTACCTCACCACAGCAATGCCCCCCTCCTCTTCCCTCCAGCCTCGTCTCAGCCAAGACTGACTCAAGAGCCCCGTGCCCCGCGGGTGTCCGTTCCTCACCCGGCGATCACGGCCCCGATGAAGTACAGCAGCAACAGGCAGAAGGTGCCCAGGTTTTGCGGGGCCATGGTTTCTCTGTGCCAGCCTCTGTGCCGGCCCTTGCCCCACACACTCCTCACAACCTCCGCCTCCGCAGCGTCGGCTCGCCAGCCCACCCGGCCCTGAGAGGCCGCCGTACACCAAGGTCTCCTACTTGGTCCGGAGCGACAGCTAGCTTGCCCCCTCCTCTGCCAGTCCGGTTCCCGGGAGTACCCAGTCCCGGTGAGATAAGCCTCCCAGGTGAGAGCCAATCGCTGCTCGGGACATCACACGCGGCCGGTGTCTCGCAGCCAATCAACGCAGTACACTTCACCTCCGAGGCCGCGCGGGTGGCCAGTTAGTCTTCGGAACTACAGCCGCAGCTCTCGGCCAATTAGAAGAGGAAACGTCAGAACGCCGCGCCGCTGCAGGAATCCGCTCGGCCCCGGCTCCCGTGAGTCGTAGAAAACTACGTAAAAGGGCCGTAGGAAAATAGGTGTCAAAAGAGGGCATCCGAGGTACACGAAGTTATCCCATCCGCTCCTTCGGACTCTCCCCAATCACGAAATTCCTCCTTCAGCACTGACCAATTGCGGGAGGAAGGTTTGATCCTGGTTATAAGTCTCGGAATTTCATTCATATGGAACTACGCGCTGGCGCGGAGCGGAGGGACAAGGGCTAAATAGGCGGGACAATCACGGCGCCAACGGGACCGCAGAGGCATTGCTTAGGTGATCTTATTTTACCTTCTCCTAATAGCCCAGGAGAATATTTGTCTCGGTTTCACAGAGAAGAGGCCGTGGAGACAGACAGACTGAGGTTCGGAGACAGCTTCTACCACTTCTTAGCGGTGAGAACAGCCCTCGCCCCTTACACACCAGTCTGAACCTGAGCTTCCTTATTTACAAACTTGACCTATTCACTGGCAGTGCTGTTGTGAAACTTTAATAGGAGAAAATCTGTAAACCATCTAGCACAGCGTCTGGTACATTGTAAGCAGTCAATGAATAACTATTATTAGTTATCAGAACTGATTCCCCTCACCTACTTTTGCTAATCTCAGTAAAGGCACCACTTAGTTGTTCACGAAAAAACTCTAGGTGTGTTCTTTGATTTCTGTGCTGCATCCCTTATCCAAATTTTTTACCTTTAAACTATAACCTGAATCTGTCCACTACTCTACATCTCCACTACTTCTCCGGGCTAAGTCACATCATCCCTCACCTGACAAGGGCTTCGTAACTGGTCTCCCAGCCGCCACTCTTAATATCTCTTATTCACTCTTGCCCTGCTCCCATGATTTTTTAAAAAAACGTGGCTCAGATCATGGCTTCCCATTGCACTTAGAATAAAGTCCCACGTCTTTATGCTAGCTTATTAAACCGTATATGTCTCAATAAAGCTGAAAAAAATTTTTTTTTAACTTTATATGAGCTCTATCCTCACCTAGTATACTCCTTACTGTGTTCCAGAAAAACTGGTTTCCTTTCTCTTTTTTGAATACACCAAGCTCATGCCTGCCTAGGGCCTTTGTTCTCTCTGCCTGAAACATTCTTCCCTCGGATCCTAACATGGGAGACTCCTTTTTAAACACAGATATCAGCTTAAATATCACCACCTCAGAGAAGACTTCCCTGAGCATGCGAAAAGCGCCCCTG